CAACATGCCCACCAGGCAGCTAGATCTGCCCACTACTTATCACAAGACACTCTTCCGTTGACATGTGTCTCCTGTGCCCAAGATGGACCAATCCATAAAAGGATGACTTCCCTGGGTCCGGCAGGTATTGCACAGATAAATGAACAGCTTAAGGGCCCAGTGAATAGCACTGATATTCATGTTATCAGCATCATTTCCCACCACAGAAATGCCCCATGGTCTACTTATCCGGGCAGTCTGGTGCTCACAGGGAAGCAGTTTGAAGGTTTTTCCAAATTCAATTCCACACCACTGTAGTCTTACACAGTTCCCTGAGTATCCTGTGTCTTCACTTTGCACCATAATAAGCATGGAGGGAACAGGCTAAGCTCACAGCATGCGGGCCACTGTCCTCCTCTAGCACTCTCCAGTCTCAGGCTCCCTATCACTCCCTCAGCCTATTCTGTACCATTCCAGTCACGAGCTTACAGCTCACACCCCATTCTTCCCATCTTTATCCAGCAATAGAAAGTGATAAGCTAAGGGTTTTAACTTAGCACCTCCATTTTCTACTTTCCAGCTCTAACTCTCCAGGTCACAGCCCAAGAAGAAAGAAGAGAAACAAGTTGAATTCATCTACAGCCAGCTAGGCACTGATGGCCAGTTAAAGCATCTCCCACAAAGCCACGTATGGGGAGGATTTATTGACAGAAGTGTGGTCCTGGGCAGCAGGAAAGGACAAAAATGACTCCATCCTGGCTAGAACAGACCTGCTAAAGAATATCCAAGAGTCAAATGCATCTCGGGAGCCAGGGTCCTGTCATAAAGCTCCAAATGTGGTTCTAATGTTTTTCATCTATTTATGGTTTCCTGGGAAACTGTATGGAATTATGACCCAGGCCAAGATGAACGCTTCCCCCCTTATCAGGTGTTTGGTTAAGTAGAAATGTGACCAATGCAGAAGATTAAAACCAGAAGCGAGGCCATGGCTGTGACAAACGTGACCACATGTTTTTCTAGGTCTTTGGAAATGGCTTCCAGGAGGAATGTGAAAGGGTTTGGAACTGTGAGCAAGAAAGAACCCTAGAATTCTGTAAGCAGAGCTTAATGGTCCATTCTGGTGGGAGCTCTGCACATCAGAATGTCCACAGAAATGCGAGCTGTGAAGTTTGTGCTCACAAGGGTGGAGGAGAACGAACGGAGACTCTGAGGAGGATCAAACTGTGGGCCTTCTACAGCCAAGACTCTCTCTGACCAACGTCTGCCTCTAGCCTAAAAGTCGGAGTGAGACGGAGCTCCAAGTAGCGGAGTGTGGTGGAGGGAATTCCAAGGATAACATCGAGGCTGTGGTACAGTTATTACTCACTGTTCTTAGCCATGGCAAGAGCCGACAAAGGGACAAAGACGGGACGAATGTGCGGTTATCGAGGAAGGGGGTGCAAACGTTGCTGAGGTTGAAGACAAGGCTGGTGAAGGCAGCAGCGGTACTTATTAAAGGGGAACGGAGAACCTGGCACCGGGACAATGAAGGTGATCTGAGAGCAAAGTCCCACCACCCATTGAGGGTTCCAGACTGTGAAAATGCAAACCTACTTGAAAAGAGAGCCTTAACAATGTCCTGCCTCAACAAGGCCATCTACAGAAGTGTTGACAGGCTTAGTCATGACGGCACTCCGAGGCCAGCACGATTTCGGTAACTGGGAGGCCACGCTAAGTTTGGGGCTGGTGTCAGAACTTTGCAGCGGCACCCATGTGGTACGAATTTTTGCAGGCAGGCAAAATGTGTTAGAGCGTCGTTGCGTCTTTCATCATGGTTCCAGAAGGCCACGAACACAGGCAATGTGGGATAGCATCGTGCATCCCCTGTGAAGAGACCCCGAAAAGCTTTTACACAAAGCTGTAGACGTGAGGACTAACATGCAGTGGAGAACCCCGAGATGTTGGAGATGCTGGGACTGTGGAATCTCTGCTAAACAAAAGCTGGTGGTATAAAGTGGAGGTAACCCAAGAGGGAGCCGAGGTGTGCTGCAAATGAAGAGGCAGGGCTACCCAAGTCGGTTGGAGCCTACGTGATGCCATTGTGGACCCTAGATGCTGGAAATGCTGCTGCAGGGTCCAGTGTGCACTCTGTTGGGATTTTCCCTGTTCTTTCTTTCCTATTTCCGCTTCTCCTTTTGGAATAGGAATTTGGTGGAAGGGCAGTGGCCTCTGTCACTTTATTATTTTTTTCCTCATTTGTAAGTGTGTGTGGTCTGCATGCACGTATATGTGCATGTATGTGTGAGGCACATGTGTGTAGGTGTGCACGTACCCGTGCGCACATGCATGTCAAGTGTCTTGTTCAATTGCTCTGTTCATTTAAGGCAGGGTCTTTCAATTGAACACAGAGCTTGCTGGTACTGGGTACTCTGGCTAGCCAGCTTGCTCCAGGATCCCTGTCTCTGCTGGGCCACCACTCTAACTCAGCATAGGTTCTGGGGATCTGAACCCTGGTCCTCATGCTTGTGTGACAGATGCTTTAACCTCTGAGCCATCTCATCAGCCTGGGAATGTGTTGTTTGTGATAAAGAGGGGTGGGCGTGTGAGACGGCTCAGGAGTTAAGGGTGCTTGCCGCCAAGCCTAACCAAGTTCAGTCCCTGAAGCCCACATGGTGAAAAGAGTGAACCCACTCCTGTAACTTGTCCTCTATGTGTGTGTGTGTGCGCACACACACACACACACACATGAATGTAAATTTTTTAAATAATATTCTTTTCAGATATATAGAGAAGCACTGAGGCAGATTTCAAGTGAAGTGTCCTCCGGTCCCCTGGGTAGACAGAGACGGTGAGTCAGAGGAAGACTGATAGTTTTATTAGCCCTGTGCTTAATGAAGTGTCAGGCGTGGGAAGAGCTGAGCTAAGAGACAATCGCCCTGTCTGCCGTGCCCATAGCCCACGAGGAGGTCCAAGGCCAGCATCTTCGTTCCTTTTAAAGTTTAGTCTACTTCTTCTTGTTCTGTATTATTACCATTTTACTCTTTGGGTATATTTCCTGTTGGATGTTTAAGACAATGTTGTAGTCGAAAAGGAGCCAATTTTTGTCATTCAAGTCAGTCGGGGCCTTTTAGAGGTCACTCTTCAAGACTTAGGAGGAGCCCACTGGCTTCTTCAGTCTTTCCTCTATGAGTTGTGTCATCTACTGGGTTGAGTCAGGATCTTGCTGACCACGTGGCTTCCCTTGGAAGCCCTGAGGACTTTTCCTTCTGTATCAACCCTCCTCTTGCCGAGCGTTCACTAGTTGACAGCCAATCTCTGTATCTTCGTGGCCTCTTTACCTTCTGATCTGTAGTCAGACATGTTATTCGTTGCGCCACTGGCCTGCTATGGCCTCTCTCATCAAGAGGATAGGGCAGGTGACTTACCGGAGCTGCAGAACATGTTGAGACGTGTCCTGCCATGCCCCTGACCTTGGGGCAAGAGCCAAAATATTGGCTGTCCTCTTAGCCTCTACATATTTATTGGCGTTGGTCTCCATATTTGGTTGTTGAAAGCCCAGACAGTAAGTTACACCAGTCTTGAAGGAAAGCTTGGGTATAGAAACATCTCATTGCCTTTTGATCTAGTTGATATTAAACGTTAGATTGCTTGTCATTGGTTGTTCTCTTTAACATTTAATGTAAGTTTCCTGGTGACGTGCATGACCAAGTCAACCTCTTTCTTTCTAAAACTGGGGGATTAAATTTATTCCACTATACATCAAGAGATGAATTATGAGTAGGAACAAGGTATGATTGCCTCTCTCAGATACAGCATCAATTTCTTTTCTATAAGGATCAAGGAGGAAACACAAATTGCCATTTTGTTTCTGGTCACAATGTGTCAGAGGTACATGGTCATAGGAAACCCGATTCATATACTAGGTAAAATAATCTCTCAAGAACAGATCCCATTATGGAGGTCTGATGTTACCTCTTTAGTCTGATATAGAAAACACACTGACATTATATGGCAACAGAGATACCAGAAAATATAGCCACCCCTCTTTGATCAATAGCACCTGAGTCAGGTTAGCAGAGATGGAGCAGGAGACAGACGTGTGTGAAGGAGCAAGATCAAGTAGCTTGAAGCATGCAGTTATAAAATTAGGAAGATCCTGTAGCTAAGCACAGAAGTGCCTGCACAGAGAGAAGCTGTGGTCAGAAGGGAGCAGAGAACGTTTATGGTTTGACTCAAGGGAGGGAGCCCACACCTTACCACAATGCCACAAGGATGATGAAGAAAATCTGATTGTAATCAGGAACACCAAATGATATCATCACCGGACCTCACTTAACCTTCCATTAGCTTCCAGCTCTTGATTTCACAAGCAGCTGATGCAAACACTACTCTGTTTTATATAAAGGATACGAGCATTCACAGACTTCAGTCTTCTTGATGGAGGTCCTGGAACCAATCTCCTACAGATAGTGAGGGGTGACTCCAACGTCTTTTAAGAAACCCTAGCAAGTTACCTAACTCCTTCTACCATATGACAGACTATCTGTGAGGAAATGACCCTTCACCAAACACCACATCTGCTGGCACCTTTTCTCAGACTGCCTGGGTTTCAGAGTTATGAGTCATCCATTTCTTTTTTTTTTTTAATTTTAAAAATTATATTTATTCACTTAATTTTTTTGTTTTTTTTTTTTTTTGAGACAGAATTTCTCTGTGTAGCTTTGGAGCCTGTCCTGGAACTTACTCTGTAGACCAAGCTGGCCTAGAACTCACAGAGATCAGCCCGACTCTGCCTCCAGAGTGCTGGGATTAAAGGCATGCACCATCACCTGCTTAGTCACTTTTTTTTTTTTTTGGTTTTTTTTTGGTTTTTTGAGACAGGGTTTCTCTGTGTAGCTTTGCGCCTTTCCTGGAACTCACTTGGTAGCCCAGGCTGGCCTCGAACTCACAGAGATCCGCCTGGCTCTGCCTCCCGAGTGCTGGGATTAAAGGCGTGCGCCACCACCGCCCGGCTAGTCACTTAATTTTATGTGTGAGTGTTTTGCCTGTATGTATCCTTGGTGCCTGTGGAGGTCAGAAACAGCCATCAGATCCCCTGGAACTGGAGTTATAGATGGTGATGAACCACCATGTGGGTGTTGGGAATCAAAACTAGGTCCTAGAAAAAAAGCTCTTAAACTGTTGAACCAGAGCGATGGATTTCTTTAAGATACATAAGCCATGCAGGTTGTTGTCAAATTCTGTACTTACTAAAGCAACTCCTGCTGACCCTTGAGTTGATACAGAAGTACCTGATGCTCCCAGGAGTCAGTGTGATGCAAGATCCTTAGGTCCCTCTAGGGAGACCTCTATCATGGGCACCGTACTGGACAGCCTGCAAAGCCATCTCTGGCAGTTTCCCACCCATCCGGAGCAGCAGTTCTCAGCCAGGGATGCTGCAGCCCCGTCCAGAGACAGTTTGGGCTGTTGCATCTGGGGGGTATGTGAGGGGATGCTGTTGTGTCAAGGGTGTGCAATGTGGGGACAGCTCCACACAACACAGGATTATTTCATCCTACATATCAGTGCTACCAAGAATGAGCCCTAGTCTCAAGAACATGGTATGTTAAGACCAGAGCAAGGGCTCTCAAGTTTTGCTTCATCCAATCTTTTCCTGGAGTGGAGAAGGACCTCACAAGAGTTGAGGGTGAGTACTACAAGCCACACTACCGCCTTCTCACTGGCAGGTAAGATGGGGGCCAGACACACTGCAAAGCCCCCAAACACACTGTAGCTTGAACAGAGTTGGGGTGAGTGGCCTCTGTTCTCTGAGCCTTATGAAACCTGGCCCATCTCTGAGCCTTGATGGTGAGTCATGAAGGACCATAGGAGTCTGAGGTGTATTGCATGTCACAGGGCGCTGAGTGTCCCTTTACCTGCGTAGAACCGCTAAATCAGTCCACAGTTTGGCTCCTCTTTAATCCTGGACTGGTAGGGAGACCATTTAGAGGATGGGCATGAGGCTAGAAGAGGGAGAGCAGGGCCACAGGCGGTGTCGGGAAGGGACCACAAACAAGTCAATCCTTCCCGCTCCCATTGTTCATCTGCCGAGCTGGTCCCTGTCCTTTTCTGTCCCAGGTTGATCTCGCAGCAAAGGATCCAGGTCCTGGAGCACTTGGACCTCCAGCCTCCTCTGTCTGAGGCACCGAACTCATAGTGGGTCAGATCCTAGCTCGGGGCAAAGCCGTCTTAGTATCCCGAAGCCTCTCCATCCTTCCTCGAGTCAGATGCCGCATAGACACAGGGTCCTTCCTGGGACACAGCCTGGACCACATTCAGGAAAAACAGCCGTGGGCTCTCGCTCTGGCCCCGGTCCTGTAGCCCCTTCTGCACGTCCTGAAGAAGAGAGAAGGGTCATTCATGGAGAGGGCAGCTCAAGTCCCCCAGTACACAAGGGAGTGGCTGGACAAAAAAATAGGAAAACAGACCTAAAAAGACGGGACTGGGGGATGGGGCCTGAAGACCCTGGCTAGGGAAAGACTGTCAGGAACTGGTTCTAGAGCATGGAGTTCATGGCTTGTAAACATCAGAGGGACGTAAGAGAGTACAGAGATTATGCAAGGACGGTGCAACTCAGAGCAACAACCCGTCAGGAACCAAGATCAGCCGGACGGCGGTGGTGGTGCACGCCTTTAATCCCAGCACTCGGGAGGCAGAGCCAAGTGGATCTCTGTGAGTTCGAGGCCAGCCTGGTCTAAAGAGTGAGATCCAGGACAGGCACCACAGAGAAACGACACAGAGCAACCCTGTCTCAAAACCTTCCTCAAAAAAGAACCAAGTTCATTCTGTTCTTGAGTCCAGTTCACTATGGACCCAGAGGACAAGTCTGAGATGATCTAGAGGCTTCCATGGAGAAGGTAGCGTTAGAAGACTTGAGCTCAGGGGCCACGAGTTTGAATCTCTTCAAAGCAACACCTTTTGGAGTTCACAGATGCCCTGGGACATTGAGAAGGGCAAAGTACTGGATACTAGGTATCCAAACCTACCAACTTGAGTACTGCCAAACCATATAGGACAACAGCAACAATCATATAAGAACTCAAGACCTGAGACATCCAGATATGCAGCAGTCAAACTCCTGGGGGGGGGGCTATAACTTTGGAGTTATAAGGGGTGTCTAGAAGGACTCAAAGCTGCTGATCCCATTTGTCCAGGCTATCCATGTGCTGTCCTGTGCTCACTTCAGTAGCACACACACTAAATTGGAGCAATCCAGAAAGATTAACATGGCCCTTGCACAAGGATGACTTGTAAATTCATGAAGCATTTCGTGTGTGTGTGTGTGTGTGTGTGTGTGTGTGTGTATGTATGTATGTATGTGTGTGTATAGGAAATGGGGTGCTTTGGTTCTTCAGGTATGGTGGTACTTACTTAAGGGGCAGAGACAGGGCGGGTTGTAAACTGAAATCAATCTAGGCTACATGGCAATTCTGAGGCTAGCCTGAGCCAAATTCTGTCTCAAACACAAACAAACTTGTACGTAACCAAGAAAACTGGAACCCTGAAGGAAGTGTTGGGAGACGCTCAAGACGTGGGGCCCTAATTGCTCAGGTATAAGACACTGAATCTGTGAACTTGGAGGTAGAAACAAAAGTAGGCCCTAGCCCTGAAGTTCTGACTTCTAAGATGTTAAGAACTTTATGTCCTTGGGGTATGAACTACTACTGCCGTTTATCATGTTACAAGACAGCAAAAATCCTAAGAATTGCATTTCTTCAGCCCCAACTTCCATATGCTATTTCAGATGAATGGGCCAAGGATTTTGTCCACTGTGACCCGATATTACACAGACGTCCGGGTATGGTGACTCTGCAAGCCTTATAATCAGTGCCTCCTTTCTGACTCTATCGAGTGATAGACATTACGTGACTTGAACCACTGGCAAGGTGAGATCTGGAGCCACACCCTGAGAGCTCGTAAGTTTTTCTGTGTTTTCTATATGAGCTGCCCAACGACCTTGACATGAAAGGCTGAGGATCTCAGTGCTGAAGCCAAAGTTAGACTTTCAGTCCTCAGAGGCCTCCATTTCTCAGAATTTAGTGGCCAAACTCCAAGCCCTTCCTCGCCTTGGTGGTGGATTTTGCTTATGAGAGTCCTCAGAGACTTGAGATCTCTAGGCCAGGGTTTATGAGGTTCTCCATGGAAAGCCCTGGATCTGCATAACTGACATTTTAACACCCCAAGGGAGCTGACAATCTTGGCTTGACAGGGTACTGGGTTCATTAATCTCAGTTCCCAGACCTTGTGTCATCTTCTGAATTCTCAGAGCCAAAGAGTCTCCGAGTGCCAAGTCTTGAGAATTGATGTTCGCTGAGGACAGATCTGCAGTTAAGAGTCAAGGGCCAAAGCTTAAGGAGCAAGGGCTTAAAAGAACATGTCTTGGATCTTGTATCCTCTCAACATTAGTTCCTTGGACCTGGTGCTCTCTGAGAGAGCCTCTCGGGTCCCTGGAAAAAACCCCACACAGATGCTAGAATGCCAAGAATCTGAGTCCCAGTGGCTAAGCCCTGAACCTCACGATCTGAACAAATCCCAATACTACAGATAGTGTTCAACTTATGATGGGGGTGACGAGGGGCTGGAGAGATGGCTCAGTGGTTAAGAGCACAGACTACTCTTCCAGAGGACCTGGGTTCATTTCCCAGCACCCACATGGCAGCTCACAACTGTCTGTAACTCCAATTCCAGGGGACACAATACCCATGGCAAAACACCAGTACACATAAAATAAAAATAAATTAATTAAAGAAAAAGTGATAGGGTGACGATGGCCCAATAAATCCATCATAATCTGAAAATATTGTAAGTCAAAATGAATTCATATACATATATATACTGAAGAGATGACTCAGCGCTCACTTGTTGCTTTTGCAGAGGATGCAGGTTTGGTTCTCAGCACCTGCTTGGTGGCTCATAACCATAATTCCAGTTCCCAGGACTCCAGTGCCCTTCCAGACATCCATGAACACCAGTCATGGGTGTGGTGCACATACAGACGTACAGGCAAAACACTCATGCACATAAAACAAATCCTTTTTAAAAAGTAAGTACGTCTAAACTACCAAACGTCACAGCCTGCCTTAAATGTGCAGAACACTTACGTTAGCCTACAGTGTCACCTGAGACAAAGGTGATGTCATTGTAAAGTGTTGAACATCTCACATGTAATTTATTGGGTATTGTCAATGTCATTCTGTGTTCTAACATAGAATGGTTATATGCGTAGTCACCATCAATGCAAAATGGACTGAATGCATGTAACCTCTTTTCTTTTCTTCTGTCTTTTGTAGTGCTGGGAGCTTGTGCATACCTTATCACTGGGCTACATTCCTAGCCCTGCATATATGGACTTCATACCATTAGAAAGTTGAACAATCCAGGAGTCAAACTATTTTGAGTCAAGGACCATCTGTTAAATGCCCCCTTTTACTGAAGGCCTCTTAGTCTGAGGGTTTTCAGAATTCTAAGTGGCCCTGGAAGATGGCCTTGGGAACCAAAACAGAACTTTGAGAACCTTGAACCACAGGTAGTTGAAATGGTCCTGAACACAAAGCTTGTGGCCTCGAAAAGCTAATGGT